TCCACTACAGCACCACCCACAATCATTTTGCCCACTCCCAATGATGACGATGATGAGGAAGAGGGTTGTGAGGTCAGTCCCCCACCTTTACGTAAAGGTAAGAAAGCCAAAAGAGATGCTTTATCTCCTGGTATAACTGCACTCTTGTCAAACATGAATGAGAATTCTGAGAGGAGAGCTGAGAGAATGGAAGCTGCAATAGAGAAAGCAGCTAAAGCATCTTATACTTCTACTCGTGTATCTTCATGTGAGAAAGGAGATGATGAAGCTCTCTCTCCCTCAAAAAATGATAGAGATTATGAAATGTTTGATGCCTCCATGCTCCTTTTACAAAAAATACCTGGAATTAAGATGGCCCAATTCGCTAAGGTATCGAAGTTATTACATGATTATGAGAAGTGGCAGAAATTTTTTCTTTCGGCACCTGAGGATGTAAGAATTGGTTGGGCATTGAATGTTTGAGCTTTTCTTTATGAATGATTGTGTTTTGTGTCATCGTTTAACTTATTACTATCTCATATTTGGATGACTGTAATAACTTAAATACTTTTATTATCTCACATTTGGATGATTGTAATAATTTAAATATTTTTATTATCTCACATCTGGATTACTGTAATAACTTAAATATTTTTATTATCTCACATCTGGATTGCTGTAATAACTTAAATACTTTTATTATCTCATATTTGGATGACTGTAATAACTTAAATACTTTTATTATCTCACATTTGGATTACTGTAATAACTTAAATATTTTTATTATCTCATATCTGGATTGCTGTAATAACTTAAATACTTTTATTATCTCACATTTGGATGGCTATAATAACTTAAATAATTTTATTTCTTGGATGCCTGTTAGTACTCAAATACTTTAATACCATTATTTAAATGTTTGTTTTATTATTTAAATGTTTTGTTTATTATTTAATTGATTTGCTTATTAACTTAAATGTTTTGCTTGTATTAAATCTTTAAATAGGGTAATGGATATGTGGAACAATATAAGAAGAATAATTCAATTATATGACGATGAGGAGGACAATGAGAGTGTCTTAATATTTGCTGCTCTTTTAGAAGAGCAGAACTTCTATCAAAAGAGGCGTTGTAGGGATTCCATTTTACAAGGGGAAACATATGTTATGGAGATTTTAAACGGCCATAGAGAAAGATGTTATGAAAATTTTAGGATGTACCCTGAAGTTTTCAGAACATTGTGTAGTACCCTGAAAGGTATAGGGCTGAAGGATTCTAAATTTTTAACTGTTTATGAACAAGTGGCAATCTTTTTGCTCACTTTATCTCATAATCAAAGGAATCGTGTTGTAACAGAGAGATTTCAACACTCCACTGAAACCATTCCTAGACACTTCCATGCTGTGTTGCATGCAGTATGTCAGTTGGGCACCCATATCATTGCCCCTCCTAATTTTTATGTGATTCCGAATAAGATTAGAGAGTCTTCTAGGTTTTACCCTTACTTCAGGCATTGTGTGGGAGCTAGAGATGGAACCCACATTCCTGCAACTCTGCCAGCATGTACACAACTTCCATTTCGTGGTAGAAAGGGTTATACTACACAAAATGTAATGGTTGTATGTGACTTTGACATGAGGTTCACATATGTGCTAGCTGGGTGGGAAGGCTCAGCTAATGATTCGAGAATCCTAAATGAGTGTACTGAAAATGAGGCAATGAACTTTCCAGCTCCACCAGCAGGTAATATTATTTTACAAATTCATTTAATATATGGTTAGTTTATCATACTGTATATATCTTTATGTATTCTAAACATGGCAGGTAAGTATTATTTGGTGGACTCAGGGTATGCCAATAAGCCTGGTTATTTGGCCCCATTTCGAAGTCATACTTACCACTTTCAGGAATACCGTAGGACTAGACAACCTCGTGGTCGGGAGGAAGTGTTCAATCATAGGCATTCATCTTTGAGAAATATAATTGAGCGATGCTTTGGGTTATTGAAGATGAGATTCGCTATTTTGAGGGCAAAACCTCCTTATAAGTTTTCAACATAAGTATTGATTGTAATGGCTTGTTGCACATTACATAATTTCATCAAAAATCAGCATCAGCCTGATGACATATTTGATGGTAATGATCCTTCTCAAAGTGATGGTGAAGATGATGAGATTGTTGAGCATGTGCCTTCGGCTCAGCTTCGAGAAATGGATCAGTTGCGTAATACTATTGCTGATCAAATTTGGAATTCTCTTCAGCACTCTTGATCCTTCTGAAAGTGATGGTATATTTTTTCTTTTGTATGTAATATATTTGTTGCTATTGTGAGCTTGCAATATATATATGTAATATAAATCTTTTTTACAAATATATAATTCAACTTAAATGCTATTATTGCAGATATGAAGTGTGTTGATGCTCTCTTGAAGGTCACATGTGCTGTTATGAAGATGATGTGTCGTTGCCATTGTCATCCACTTTATGAACTTCTTATCAATTTTTAGTGACAACTATGTATTGTTAATGCTTTGTTCCAAACATTTTATGTGCAACTTAAACTTGTTTAATTTGTTGGTTGAATATTTAAGGACTTGTAAATGTTATACACTCTATTTCAATTATGCTTTCAATTGAGTTTGTTTTTATTTTAATGTTGTGTTGGACTATACAGGTATCAGGATAATAAAATTGAAGCAGGTTATTGCAAAGAACTTGTAAATAGGTTATTGCAAATTTTTTTTATAAATATTGACTCTCATGTAGTATTGTAAAATGTGACTAGAGATTATTTATTTTTAATGTTGAGTTGGACTATACATGTATAATCATAATAAAATTGAAGCAGGTTATTGTAAAGAACTTGTAAATAGGTTATTGCAAATTTTTTTACAAATGTTGACTCTCATGTAGTATAGTAAAATGTGACTAGAGATTATTTATTTTTAATATTGAGTTGGACTATACATGTATAATGATAATAAAATTGAAGTAGGTTATTACAAATAACTTGTAAATAGGTTATTACAAAAATTAATATATATATAATTTGGTGGGGGTTTACATTTTTTTACAAAAGAAAAGGCAAGAATCTGTATTTTGGAGTTAAATTCCCACCAATGCAGACTTACAAGAGTCGAAAATTATTATCAGAGCTGTGTAATATTTTTTTTTTCTTCTTTCGCTAATGCGAAAAATGAGCAAAATGAATGAAACACAAACCTATGGACAATCATCACCAAAGGAACAAACTATACCAGGAAATTTCAAATAACTTAAAGTGTAGTTTCAGATCAAGATAACATGTTGTGTATGTGTGTGTGTGTGTGTGTGTTTGTGTGTTCAAATTTTAATATATTTATTAAAAATATATAGACTATTTATATAGAAATAAATTTATAAATAAATTTAAAATTTATAAAAATAAATTAAAAACAATGATAACCAAACATGTTTTTTGTTTCTATTTTATTTTGTTTACAACCGTTGGAGCTACCAAATATGTTTTGTTTTTAAAATTCTTGAAACGCATGACTTACCAAACATGTTTTGCATGTTTTTGTTTCCGATATTTTTACAGTAAAAGATCGTTCCCAAACGTGCTTCCGATTTTTGCCAAAACACTCCAATAGTAAAAATACTATTTCTATTTTAACCAAAAATAAAATATCTAAAGTAAAATGCATGCCAAACACGTCCTAAGAGTTGCACTATTGCCTATGTTGTCTTTATTCACGTGACAATATATTCCCACACATATATTCAAACACGTGGGCTCGCTCTCGTAGTCCCAAATTTATGAAAGTTGCTTTTATCATATTTAGCTACCCACAAGGACCATAACAATAGAGACCACTCAAAGTGGGTGAACAATTCAGCTTTATTTTACTTCTTATTTTTTTGTGGCGCAAACATTTCATGGAAGACTTTTGACACCATAAAGCATACCCTCTTTACCTACCCAATTGCACCCATTCGTCAATCCCATTGACATTCTTTTCTTCTCCACTAACTGGATGAAGATTTGGGTATATATATATATATATATATATATATATATATATATTTCTTAGTTGATACCCAAAATTCGGATTGAAGAAATTATTTGCACCATTCAAAAGATTCGAATCTTAAACCTAAAATTTCATGAGGCACGACCAAATTTACTAATTGCACTAGAAATATATTATCAGCTTCTTCAAGCAAATTTTTTTTTTTTTTTTTTTTCCCTCAGATATTGGAAGATGTCACCACCCCCGTTTGGAAAGCAGAATAGGTGATCAATAAACTCAGGACACAGTTTTTTCATGCCCCAGACAGGACATAAACTCGGTTATCCGTTGGGAGTAAAAAAAAAAAATCTATTTCTGATTTTATATCCACTTATACCTATCCTTTTCTTATTCTTTTAATACTTGTTCATATCATTATCAATTTAAGACCAAACGAGCCCTATATCAATTCCTAATTCATATGCAGTCCAAATGCATCCTAATGGAATCTTTCCTCGTTTGAGATTCCAAGTCATTGCCAACTTTGTCAACAGTTTTACATATTTGTTTATAGATGATGATGGTGCAAATTGTCTCAACTTTTAATTGTAGTAGTCAGTCATATATATATATATACACACACTCCGTATGTCACAAAGAACCAAACTATAATTATAAAGAACAAAACTCTAAAGATTCCACAACGTTCAGGACCTAGAGCGTTAGGGGAGGAGGGTAATAATGAATTTTTTTAATAATTTCAGAGGGATCAATAATAATATTTTATGGATATGTAATAAAATTTTTTTAAAAAATAACAAGATATATTAGTAAAACAACTTACAACATTGCTATCAGCACCGAGTCAGGTTATTCAGTTGAGGGCCAGGATGAAGAATAATAATTTATTTTTTTGAATAACTTAATAAAAATTTCGGTTCTAGTTTTTATACGATCATCTATACCTTAAGATTTGTATAAATAGACCCTGTTGTTATCATCTAGAAGTAAAATCCATTCTCATTGTGGTTTATTGCCAAATAATTCAAACCTCAACTCATATAATCAATTAATAGGATGGGTTTGATACAACACAAAGATTCAAACTCTTACATTCTTGCTTAGTTTTCTCTCTAAAACATTTTGCTAAACACTGCCTATCACTGCGGAGGCAAGGAGCTGTGCCCTCCTCCTCCGATGGCAGCTACATAAGGATATCATCGATCAAGACTGAATACGAATAGATTCGTCATTCTGTGTAGGGACTGGGAGGTGACCCTTCTCCTGCAGGCTCTTCACGGTCTCATATAAGCATTGCTTCACCGGTGTGAACTCCAACCCCAATTCCTTCAGCTTTTGATTCGAAAACTTGTACGGTTTTGCTCTTGGTTTTATCTCATCCGAGCACCTGCATTTAAAGTCAACTTAAACTTAAAGAAATGCTCCTAAAAACAACTACTTAAAATTATGTTACACCACAATCATTAAAAGATTAAATTATACTACTTTATGAATTAATCATGCAACAAATCAGATTGATCAAAATAGGTTTAAATGTTGAAGATGTCATTTAAAGTCCTCGACGATGGAAATGGGACAGGCAAGATAGAAAGAATCTGGGTGCAAAGTCGTGTTGTAGGTGGGGACACTGACTCACTAGGAATATTATATTTTGTGAGCACATTTCAAATGTTTCAAATAGTTATTTACATTATATTACTAGTCGAAGTAGGTATACCAACTGTCACACCAAACAAAACAAAAAACCATATTTTATCCTCCAACAACCACAAATTTTTTATTTTTTGTTTTCACCCCGGAAGAAATCCATATTTTTAGAAAAATTTCCAACTTTTTCCTTATTTCTTCTCTTCATTATGCATTCTTTTTAGCAACTTGCATATCATAAACATTAATAAAAAAATACAAAACTAGCCTATCATATCATAAAAAAGAGGGACAACCGTTCCTTTCTGGCTTGTATCCTTTCTCTTCCTCATTTTCTTTCCTTCCAAACATAGTGCAGGGAAGTTTCCAATCACTGTCTTTGAGGACGTGGGATTGACATGGGATTGACATCACCAAATTAAGACCAAATGAACTATATAAAAAGCACATCAAGTGGTTTTAAAGAAACATTAATATTTATTAAAACCATTGTTGTCTACTTTCCTAACTCTAGAAAATATTTGTTTACGTCCATGAATTTGAATGCAAATTCTAGGTATGGCTAGCAATTAAAAGGTAAAAACAGGATCAATCCGAATTTATGGTTCTACTAAAAGAGACATCTATTAAAATTAGCATAATTTTTGTTGAAGATAATGATCATTGAGCTCTTACTTGGTTGGGATGGGATACTCGGGGAAGAACTTGGCCAGAATTTCCACCACCTCGCCACGATGAAGCACACTCTCGGCACAGAGGTGGCGCCCGGTAGCTGAAGGGGTCTCGTAGACAAGGATGTGTGCCAATGCCACATCCTTAACATGCACGTAGGCCTGGATGGAGTTGGCATAAGTCTTTGCCGAGCCAGTCAAGTACTTGAGGATGTGAATAATGCTGGCATTGATGGTTGGTTGCAGCAATGGTCCGAGCACCAACACCGGGTTCACCGCCACTAGGTCCACCCCTCTCTCCTTTGCCTCCTCCCATGCTGCTTGCTCTGCCACAGCCTTCCCATAGCAATACCAATTCTACAATTCAACATTGCATTACCTTGATCACACTCATTGTTTGGGAATTTTGTACTAATATATAAAACGCATCAATTAAATCTATGACCAATTGATCAAATATCACAAAGGTCGATCATGAAACATCTCAAATGACCAAGGTTGAAGACTCAAAACATGCATAGAAAAGCAAAATAATCAATTAAAATTATGAGCATATCTTGTGGATCACATCAATACTGAATGTATATATTGCCTGTTTGTCTTTCTCATCATTTAAAATATCTAATTTTTGTCTTTTAATAACATTATTCTTTGTATAATAAATGCAAAGGAATATCTAAGAATTTGTAATAAATGAGACCTTTGTGTTCTTGCAGAACTCAAGATCACTCCAGCAACTTTCATCCACCACTGTATCAGGGTGTCTGTTAGGGTCCATGTACACTGCACCGATTGATGACGTGAACACCACGCGCCGAACTCCCGTCTCGGCGGCAGCAACTATCACATTCTTAGTGCCAATCACTGCAGGCTCCACCATTTGTTCCTTCAAATCAAACAAATGATACCATATCATCAATCTCATGTTACAAAAACAAAATCAGAACTTTTTGGGTGGCGAGAAAACAAAGGAAAATTAAGTATATATAAACACAATTTATACATAGAAAAGTTTATACATAATCACGTAACTTCTTTAGCTCCAAAACCTTGTTTAATTTTTAAACATGGCACTTGGGTCATGAAATTAAGATTAAAAAAAAAAAACTCTGTTTCCTATAGTATGTCTATAAAAAAGTTTAATTGTAATGCACATTCTCATTCAAAAGACAAATGTTTACAAACTAAATAGCGTGATCCAATAATTAAGATTCAATTCAGGTGATACATATATTTTTTCCTTTCTTGGTATATGTATTCTCAAAGACATACTATCAAACAGAGGATGCAGTGTGGAAAACACCACATATTCTATCTCTTTTGTTTTATTTTCCTCCCTTTTCTCGCCAACCAAACAGTTGGTCGGTACAAAAAAAAAACTCACTGGGTCATCAGTTACTGGTGATGCAGTGTGGAAAACACCATCACAACCGTTAATGGCTTCGCGCAGGCTCTCGTAGTGAAGAAGATCAGCTTTGCACAGAGTCAGTCTCTCCTTTGCTCCCTCAAGCTCTCTCAAATGGGAGTTCTTCGGATCATCTGTTTACAATAAATATACCAAATCAATATATAAATACACATATATAAGCACAAACCAAACAGACACACACGAACGATATTTTACCTGGATTTCTGGCAGTTCCTCTGACGGTATAGCCCTTATCTAAGAGGAGTTTTACGAGCCATGAAGCGATGAATCCGCCGGCGCCGGTGACGCAGACTGTGTTGCCGGAAACTGACGGCATGCTTTTGATGGTGGTTTGGGAAAGAGAGGGGTCGTTGGGCAAGAAACAAAAAGTAAAGCCAAGTAAAGAAGTGCACGATTTTGCTGTATTTATAAGGAAAATAAATGTCCACAACTCACCTACCACGGTCAGAAATTTTTATAGAGAGAGAAAATGTTGAAGAGAGAGAGAGACGTGGAAGACTGTTGGTAGTGGGGATGGATCGTGGATGGGTGTAGGAGAAAGCGAGTGAGAAAAAAATGCTACTGTTTGTGTCATTGTGTGTGTGTGTGAGACACGTGTAACTGTACAAGTACAACAACAACTCAATCACTCGTAAACATTGCATGTGGGCTAATCATCCTTTGTATAACAACAACTCAATCCACTCATAACATCACCAATTTGGGAGGGGAGACATTATTAATATTGGCCTTAACCATCCTTTGATTATTCAATTTATTTACGAATTCAAAAGATGTTGAAAGAAGATTACGGTAATCAAAGGCTGAGTATATCTATTTTACCTTTTAAAAAAATAAAAATAAAAATAAAAATAGGTGAGGGTTGGAGTATTCTCATAAACAACGTAAAATTTTAATATGTTATATTTATTTATTTATTAAGATTAATTACACTCACATTCGTTTAAAATTTATTTTCAAGGAATACCATTGTTAAAAAATGAATTAACTTGTTTCATATTGATTAATCAATTACTTACCATGCTTGCGTTATTAGACATTGTGGGATTGGTGGAATCAACCAAACTGGGTGGGTAAGTGGACCCACCAACCCACAATGGTCTTGCCGTGTGGGACAAAACAGTTTAAAATAAATTTTTCATTACATTCTAATCCTCATTTATTTATAAGTATTACACGGAGACATCATCAAATAGAGCATTCATTTGAGTCCATGATATATAATCTTTATCTCATTAATATTGTCATTTTTTTATTTTATAAATTGATACTAATAATAAAATTAAGATAAATAGTATAATTAATATTTTAAAAAATATATAATAAAAATAATCTAATAAAAAAATAACAAATTAATTAGAAATAATAAAATAATCTTTTGCAATGATTTTGTCATTATTTGCAATAAATTAATAGTTCAAGGAGGTTTGTTTTTTGCACATTACCTCTTTTTTATTAATAGTGTTAAAATGAGGGAAAGAGGATTCGAATACGTGCACACCTGTTCAGCCCACGAAAAATTAGATGCTCTATCAATTATGCCATTATGTAATATCTGACTAACAACATACAACTTTACACTACCAAAACGATTAAAAGATTTCAATTGTATGCTTTTAAATTCAATTATTGAAGATGTATAATTAAGTTTAGAGTTAAGTTTTAACGACAGATTGATTAGATATTTTTAATTTGTTTTATTGGTCCTGATAAAATAATATTAGATGCCTGGATTTCAAGTAATATAATACATACAAGCAAATATTCTAGTTGCACTAAGATTATAACAAAATGTCTCGTATATATCTAAGATCACCTCCACTTCCAAAATAATCTTTTATTAAATTAAATTAGTTGATGTCAAATATATACATTTATTCAAATGAACTATTACCTGTATTTAAATAATAACAATAATAATAATAATAAAGGAGGAGAAGGAAGAGAAACTAAAAGAGGGAAATGATTTCTTGGAAGATTCAGAACATTGTTCGTGGCTCTCACTGACTCACTGTTATAAAAGGAGTGGACAATTCCAATTCCAATTCCATTATCATCTTTGCAACCAATTTCATTTCCGAAATATATATATATATATAGTGTGTGTGTGTGTGCAGGACCAATTAAGGGCCTAGTGATCGGAGACAACCGCCCCCAACTAAAAGAGATTTATTTACAAAATTATCTATAATTTTTGTTAAAATCTTAAAAATATCCTATTAAAATTTTCATAATATCTCACTGTACGTTCTTATAGTTCTAGGTGGAACATGATTCCTGTAGCTGGCCCAACTAGTTGGAATACAGGTTTGTTGGGTTGAGTAGAAAGATTAAAAACAAATATATATATATATATATATATATATATATATATATATATATAATAATAGTGGGGATGTCTTCTTGAACCAGATTTGACCAAAAGTTTGAAATGCCTATTCTAAATTCTAATGAATATAAAAATTTACTTTAATCAAGTACACGCGGTAGAGGCAGCCCAATGTTGCCACATATTAGGTAAATGTTGAAATCAATTACTAACAATTAGTGGTAGGTTGGGATAAAATAGGACCAAGTAAGAGAGAGCGTAGCTGCATAAACTTTTTTTTGACATTGACCAATCTCTCTAGTCAATCTACCAATAATTAACTTATTCAGCTTCTAAGGTTTTTCAGATTCCAAGTTTCTATTCCTTGCCAGTCTTAGATACTTTCATCGTTCTTAAATTGTATTTTCTTACTGTTTTACCTACTAAGAGGAAAAATAAAAAATAAAAAAAGATTCTGCTTTCCACTTAGATATTTTTTTAGTTGTTTTACGTGAGATAATAATTTTTAAACTTAATAGTCTAATCGAAAACCCTAATTAAGGAAATACCACTATTTAAAAGAATTAAATTTAGTCGTATTCATTCATTCAAAGGATAAAAGGTCCAAATATTATTATCCTTTACTATAATGATTCTCGGACCTACATGACTCCGTTACATGTTTAATTTTCGGATCTATGGCCTGAGAGAGAGTGTTTAATTGACAGAGAACCATTGACAAACAGCCATAAACACACAAGTCGTATATTGCCCAAGCAGCCTGAAGCCATAGACATCCACTGTTGTGGGCTATAGTATACTACATTCCAATTATAAAAAGACCTTGTTTTTAACCAAGCAAGTTAAAACAAAGAAAATGCACTACAATCTAGTTGTTGAAACTACATTTAAATCCAAAAAAAATATTGAACAAAAATTATTGATTAGTATGATAGGAAGCATGGTGGTACTTGTTTGCAAATCGCAGTGGTATCAGCTTTGCAGAGGACATAAGATTTTGAAATCTTTCATGGTTTCAAGTTTGTCAAGTTGTGGTAGGTGATGACAGCAACTTCTGCACCAGAAACAAAGAAGTTTTCAAGTACCACCACCAGTTAGGTTAGGAAACATATAGGATGAAAAGTCTAGTGCTTTTAGGTATATAGACATTGGACTAGATACCAAATTAAACTATTCCACCAATACCATTCATGGTGTGAGGTTGGCACTAGCCTTAGTTTATTTCGACATAAAATATTTTTTTATTTTTATTTTTTTGATATTTGATAAAGATCTACTTTGAGACTGAGGTCGAGTTCATCGTACGAGGCATGTAAAATAACTTCTCGAAGATTGATGAATAAATTATTTTTATTAAATTTTAATATTTTTTTTCTTCGTAAATATTTTACGACAACTAAACATCAGAAAATGAAAAAATATTTTATGTCCAAACAAACGAAGCCTAAATCATTTTGGTCTTTACACAATTGATTTCTGAATTACTGGGCAGAACATTGCCAAAATGCATGAACCTTTTTATATTTCAAAAGTTTGTGTCCATATGCATTCTAAGGTGTGGCTTATAGCTCCATCAATCCAACGAACAAGAACTAATCAACTTTTTTTCTTATTATAAACTCCGTATTTTTTTGCTAATAATTCATATACGCCCAGGTTGTTTTTAGATGAAGACACCATCTTATGGGTTCAATTAAGTCATGAGTCTCATGACAATATGCTTGGCAAGATAATTTGGAAAGCCGAAATGGATTGTTTGTTTTAACTGTTGAAAAAGAAAGACATTATTCCTTAATTAAACGCAAAATATGTGAAATAAACAAGCTCATCATTTACATTACAATTATTGGACTACAACAATTTCTGCTTTTTGGCATCTCAGAAACAATTACTCAAAAATCAAAACAGATCACGTATAATTGGTAGAGTATAATTGGTAGAGTGAATTAATCGAATACATATACACTAAGCAAAATGACTTGAAATTAACATGATCGGCCAAGCGTCACGCTGAAGGGGATAACCACACAACTTGGTTATGGCATGTTTAGGTGTCATTTGTTTCGATAATTCTTTAGAATAGCACAGATTGACATAAGTTGTATGAAACGCTTTAGAACAAAATTTGCTAAATGGGAGAGCTACACAATTTGGTTATGACATATTTAAGTGTCATTTGTCTCGAGTTCTTTAGAATAATAAAGATTGACATTAGTTGTATGGAATTCTTTAGAACAAAATTTTGCTAAATGGGAGAGCTACACAACTTGGTTATGGCCAGGGACGGACCCAGAACATTAGCTTAGGGGACAATAAGTTGTATGGAATGCTTTAGAACAAAATGGAGTTAGGTGTTAGTAAATTAGGGTGGAACATTAGGGAGGAATGTGCAAAAATCTGAAGTATATTTAACATATTTGTATGGATTATTTATTGGAGAAAAAGTAAGCCTATATAAGGGTTGAATATTATTGGTCTCACATTTCCTCTTGATCATTGTTATCTCAATTTCTGGTTAAGGATAGTAAAATGTTTCCACTGTTTCTTAAATTTTAAATGTTAGCAAGAGAGACGATGGAATTAGTAAGAAGCTATACTCTTGTTTCTCAAATAGGTTTCAATTGTCTAGCAAATAGGTTTCAAAAGCCGCATTTTAGAAAGCAAATTATTTTGAATGTATTCAAACAATTAAAGCTGACATAGTTTCATATTCGATTTTAAATTAGAGATGTTAAAAATACATAATTGACGTTCTTTACCAATATAAATTTAAAATAACATAAATTTGTTATTTAAAATTCAGCTCAATTTTAAATTTAAGTTACATTTCTTAAATAATTTAAACTCAATCCATTCATTTTTTTAGAGCGGAAGTGTTTTTTTGGGAGGTCAACCCATTACAAAAACCATATAAATCTTAACTATGAGAGAAGAGCTTGATCGTGCATATTCAGATCAGGGTATCTGCTTAACTGATTCGGATATGTAAAAGATTGAACCCATCACATATCTACTCACCCACTCACCATTTCGCAATCTTTCTCTATGGACCTCGATAGACCACAAGTGCACCAAACCAATTCAGAGCTAAGTACAAACTTTTGGGAACCTTCAATTTTCCAAAATTATTTTCCTTTTTACATTAATAAGTACATGAAATCCTTTGTTTCGTTCTAATTGTGTGCATCATTTAAAATAAAAGTTGAATTTGATTCTTTAACCAAACATATCTATAGATCTTTTAAAGCAAGTTCACTCGTGCTTTTAGTTGTGAATACAGGCATGCGCGCACACACACACTAACTATATCCTATTACATAAGTAAACATTTTGTTCTCCCTTCTAGCAAAAAGAGAGATTTTTATATATTTTTTTTTGCCTCCAATAAGTAACTTGATACAGCTATTTTAATGTACAGGTCCGATTTCGCCTACCATAAAGAGAGATTCTTCAAAATGCAAAGGACAATGATACATCAGCATTCACTCTCAGTTTCCCTCTCCAATCATCCCCCCCTCAAGTTGTTCATTGCAGTTGCAAAGCAGCACTACTCATTTGGTATTTGTTGAGGGAAGCCATCATTCACTTATGCTTCGAAAGATAAGTTTGACATTGTTGATGAATAAAAAATTTCACTTCGTTTGTTATGTGACTTGTGTATGGCAAGAGAGAGCCCCTACAAGCTACAAGAGGCCATTGAAGCGTCGCTGCCAGAAATATTCTTCAGCCTCAGACTCCAAAATGGTGTCATCAATCTTTTGGCTTACAAGTTTCATCGCATTTACGCACTTCTCTGCCTCTTTAACACCTTCTTGCGCTGCCACCAGCTCCACTTGTCTCTGTTCCAACTCCTTAGTGGCTGCTTCAATGACAAGGATGCTATTTGCTTTTGCATTCTTGTGCAAGGAAGATCTCTGACCAACCTCTTCTACTTCATGGATCTTTGCTAAGTGCTCGCGCAGCCAGGAAACTTCAAGTTTGGCCGCCTCTGCATCCGATACTTCATTTTCTATAACTTTAAGCTCAGTAATAATGTGAGTAATGGCATTGCTTTGCAGCCGCTGAACAAGATCACAAACAAACTCAAGCAGGGAAGCCCTCGCAGATGCTGACTTGAACTGACAATTAGCAGAGATGTCACCGTATTTTGCAAAAATTGCCCCAAGTGTAGATGCATGTCAATTTCATGTGGGTTGGTATGTGTTGCCCCAACTTGCATCTTAGTTTGTACACCACGTGGTTCCTAATAACCCGTTCAATCAAAATCGAAGGATGGTGCTTAAACTTCATCACAAAGTAATGTACTATAGTTACATCAGCCAAATTAGCATGAGTAATCTATAATTAATAGAAGTCCACTCCACTTCCAGCATGAACCAAAGCTCAAGTTAGAGCTCTTGAATCACCAATGTTGTACGACAGGGTCAATACAAAATCTGGGTCCATTTGCTTTCTCATCCCCTGTTTTCAAACTAAAATTGATGTCGCGAACCTTATTTGCTCCTACAAATGCTTGGAGGATAGCTTGATTCGCTGTGAAGTAAGTGAATTTGAGGTATCGACAAGTGTCGTTGAAGTTCATCTAAAGTAATTGGTCATTAAACGACGACCAAATGTCTCTGTTCTGACGACCAGCGAGGTCGTCACCGGCGACGACCTCCTATTGTCGTGAAGGCGACAGGTTGTTTGGCGGCCATTGAATCATTTGATTACTTGCCCGTTATTTTTTATTTTATTATTCCTGTACAACGTGGACTTTCCTAGGGCAGCAGCTGCCGCTTTGATGAATTTGTCGCCGGCAATCCGTTATAAAAACCTACTCTCTCTCTCTCTATCCCAACCGAAGACAATTACCTCCCAGATTCACTACCCCAGCCGACGACGCCGCACTTTGGGCAATGACAACTCAGGGGTAGTTTTGTAATTTGGAGTAACTGGATGAAGTTTGTTAGTTTGGGCAATGACAACTCTCATGTGCCAACCTATTAATTATAGGGATTATTACATATAAATGGGGTTAGAGTTTCATATTTACCAAGAGGCTGAGTCAAAGTCTCATATTTCTTAAAAATGAGGTTGACTAAATTGATGACATGGCACATGAATTATTACTGTTTAAAACTTGTGGTGCCTAAAATGCCCTTCTCACTATTCCAGCACATTTACCTTATTGCCCCCGTTTAATTTAGTCACTCAACTTGTTGCCCTAAAATACACAGTCACAAATCCAGCGAAGCAAGCCCAGGCAAACACAGCATCACCGAACATGGAACCCTAACCCTCCCTCATCTCATTCGTGAAGAGCCCTTAAGAGTCCTCTCTCTCTCTCCCCCCATCTCTGTAACAGGATTGAAGCGTAGCCGTTGAGCCCTAACCCTCATTCAAGCCCTCTCTCTTTCCCCCTCTGTAACAGCAAAGCACTTCTCCACGTCTAACCGTCGTTGGTGCGCCCTCTCTGTAACCCAGCGAAGCACTTCTCCACTTCTGCCATTCATTTATTGTTGTTCTAGTAATATGGTAAGTACTCTCTCCCTCTTAACACACACACGTTTATATTTTAGATGATTATGGTCCTGATTTAGTGTTATAATATTTTTTTTTTTTTTTTTTTCCAATTGGATGTCTGATTTTCATGGAGGTTATGTTTATATATATTCTCCTCTTATAATTTCTATTATGCAATCATATATATATAATTTCTATTCTGCAATCAAGATTGTTGTTGCTCTGTTTGTTGTATATGTTTGAAATGTGCGTAACAAAATGTTGCTCTCTTGTGCGTGACAAAATTAATTTTTAAAACTCAGTTTTATCCCACCAACAAAGGCAAAATTTTCATAAAGTAGATACTTAATTAATCAAATGTTTTTTTTTTTATTTTTTATTTTTCTTCTTCTTCTTTTGTAATTAGGTTTGCTTGTTTTTGAAGAGTTCATGCTTTCTTTATACGTTGACTGAACTGAAATCCCAAATGTTATCCTACAATCTTTCCACTAGCATGGGTTTTCATACTTAAAATACTCGGAATTTGCTGAAGAAAACATAATTAAACAGGATAAAAAACAAATTTCCATGCATGTCCTTTGTTACCTGCTGAATTTTTTTTTATAGAACATTAATCTGATCTTAAAACTTAAACATTGTACTGTTAATGCCTACCTGTGTATAGTAGAGATTCAATGTCCCTAAATCCAAATAATTCATGTTCTTTAAATTTACTAGGACCATGTGGAAGCAAGTGGCAGTACGTGTGGTGCCTACAGGCTTTTTGTTGGATTTCACTAGTTAGCTAACTAGCTTGTGCCAAGGTAACAAGCTTAAATCCTATCTTCATAAGTCATTTGCTCTGGAGACCTTATGATACAATCAATGAATGTAAACTGTAAAGAGGCATGCATGTGATAGTCTTTGGGTAGGGACACTTGTTATCAAATGTTTGTGAAATCTACATTCCCATTTGCATTTGCTTAGTAAAAGAATTGTTTAAGATTACTAGTATTGGTTCTACAATATTAAATTAAAAACAAGTTTTTCATACATACTATATTTGTTGTGGTTTAGTGGTTGAAATGTAATTAAATATAAAATTTGAGTTTGGTTCAATTAAATGAAAATGCTTTATAATAATTTCATGATTAATATCTTGGGTGTTAAGAATCACTAATAAAGATTTTAGTTCTCAATATAAAACAAAAGGGAAGAAGCTACTCTGTTTGTGCCTTATAGATGAAGTAACAAATCTTCATGGTTATGCTATGATTTGTGCCTTAGCTTACAAGGTTGGAAGTCTTTGGTAAATGTTTTCACTAGGGAAACATAGCATTTTAGAGCATGTCAGTGATGGCCTTGGTGTCTGATAATTACCAACATTTAAATAAATTAGATAAATAATTCTTTTTAGTAGACTGATTGAATATGTTAACATTTTTAAACGATTAAAAAATTTAGTCTAAGATATTGCCATGCAATGACCAGAAATGGAAAAGATTTCTTCACCATCTGTTCATGAAATTTGAATGGTTTTAAACAACAAATTTCTAGATATGCTTACAAGTTCCCCCCGCGCCCCCCCCCCCCCCCCCCCCCCCAACCGGTGAAGAGTGCAAGCTGCTTTATACCTAAGCCCAAATTCAGTTGAAAATACAAGACACGAACAATAATGGGAAAACTGTTATATGACCTTTACGTCTAAATTGTATTTACGGGAAAAGAAAGAGAGAATGAAAGAAAGAAGTAAATTTCGATCAAAATTCTGTCCAAGACTGATGCTTTGGAAGTTATTTAGTTTCTAACGAGATGAAAAAGAGAAAATATAAAGCAGTAGGTAGTTATCTAAACACCAGTTATATAAATAATAATAAATAAATAAATTAAGTACTTATTCAGTTTTATCAAAAGGGATGCAGAAAAACTCCTCCGAAGATAAACATATTGTCATAAAACAAGACATAGCATTGGTAATACTAATACCTCTTCGGGCATTGATTCTCTTCTTGAATAGCCGAATTGGGTCATAACCCTCCAAACACGCCGCATAAATAATTATCCTGACATTGAAATTCAAGCAATTTTCAACCCATCAAAGAACCAAAACAAATAGCCCGAACTTTCTATATATATACACACACAGAAAAACAAAAATTGGTAAGAGGGGGACATAGAAGGTGATCTCTCTGGCGGCTCTGGGGCTGCAAAACCTGCCACTCTCGTCAATTCTGGGCAGCATTTCTCTGGGAGATGAGAGAGAGTTTGCCGATTTTTTAAGAACTTCCCCAACAGCCGTGAGAGCTGAAGAAGTGCGAAGAGGAGAGCTTAATAGAGAAATTAAGCTTTCTGAGAATTAGGTTTTGAGTAGCATTCTCTATACCAGATCAGAATATGACACCTCTTTGCATTATTTGGAATCAAAGTAAAAATAGAAGTTAGAACTAAATTGAAGAGTAACATTACTTTTTGTATAAATTGAAGAGTAACACTACTTTTTTATCTAATATATTCTACACCCGTGCATATATATAAATATATTGTGGAACATACATATTAAATTGATGACTTAATATGAATGCCACAATTAAACACACTACCTTAGGGGGGGTATTCCCAAAGTTTCTCATTTTATCTGTTCGATTTTCTAATAATAGATAATAAATAATCTCCTATTGTGTACAGAATCACAACACTTACTCCAAAAACATATTATATATATATATATATATAATATTGTGAGTTGAGTTGAGAATTTCACTTGATAGAGCTTTGATGTCAAATAAATAAAGAAAGACAGGTTTCATAAATGAGGAGTGAAGAGGTTGAGGGAACACTGACAATATTTCTTTGTATTTTGCTCTGTTTTGAAAAGGCTACATGAGAGAGCTCTCTCTCTCTCTTTGAGGTGGATCTGATTTTTTTGGTCCAAAACTCTGGCACTACAATCAAACCAAAGACACCACCTTTATGTGAAGGTGAATACGGATACTACATGTCTTTGCACTAGGAAAGGAATCAAAATCAAAATCAAAATCAAAATCAAAACAGCTAATGGGTGATTTAAAGTTTTCAATGGGAAACAGATAAGTGTAGTACTACTAAAGTCTGTTTTAAGAGAAAAGCCTTCAAACATGGTAGAGTTTATAGATTTTTGTGGGGATTGCCTTATTAAATCTGCCTATGCTCTTTTAGCTGCATTATATATATTTCTCGCAATCGAGATATACATGGTTTTACCCCACTAATTCTCGGAGCTCCCAAAGAATTATTTGTACTCATGAAAGCGTAGTCTCAAAGAATTATTTGTACTTATGAGGAATCTAATTTTAAATCTGGTGCTTCATGTACTTTTATTTTTTGATTTTCAATTGTATCCAAACATCTTATTTTTTTATATTTCCATTAAAATGGTATCTCTCTTTGATTTTGGATCATGTGTGTGATTATGAAATTATGTGTTGATTTGTAAGGTTGCTTTCAGCTTTGGACAAAAATAAAATGAAATGCTCTTTGAATTATCGACTCTCAATTAACTATGTTGGCAGCCTATTGCAATCGATTAGAGTGATTAATAAATTCTTAAAATTTTGTTTCTTGTGAGGGAGGGTCTAATTTTGTAATTTTGCTTTAATGGTATTTGATAGTAACAGAAAAATTCAGTAAGTTAATATTTATATTTGGTTTTATACTAAGTCGCATAAAGTGGTAGATAGAGCGCAAAAGCAACAAAATTAAATTACAAACAAATCGTGAGAATGGGAGCTAGATTTACACCTGTTAAAAAGAATTGTATGACCTAGATTTTAACACAAACACACTTGTCATAGGCTAGCTACACCTATTGTAACTTCTGCGGCTAGCTATTGGTCACTGTTCTTGTTTGTTTGAGTGTGTTTGGATCATAAAAAAACAAACATATTTCAGCCACTACATGAATAGCTTCCCAATGAGATTGAGGAAAAACTTCAAGACAAAATGGCTGAGCTAAATCTAGTTTATGATTATGTTAAGTGCTGTTAGGAGGAGATTGAAACAGCACTGGACCGTCAATAAGCACATCAATCTTAAGAATCATAGTGTGAACTATACTCTAATACAGGTCCATAGAACAAGTGTGCCATTAGGGGAGAGAAAACCCTAACGTACCTCGATTTGGAAGGAGAAAGAGAAGGAATGAGAGAAATGGTATAATAATACTTGTTTAACCTTCCAAACAAAAAACCTTTAGGAGTCATCCAAACCAACATGAATTTGTTCTAATTTTTACAAGAGTTAGGCTGAAATATTTAAACATAACACGACTTTGTCATATATATGTATGTTTATACATGATTTTAACACACACACACTGGCCATAAGCCTAAATACCACACATTAACTAGTACATAATGGAACACATACACAAAACTAGTAGTAATCATGATGCAACTAATAAGCTCCATATGATCAAAGTAGTTTCACGGCTTATTTATCATTAAGCAGTAGTTGCCATGGACTGATATAGATATATATTCAAAGCATATAATTTTAAATTTTTAAGCTCATTACATCAACAAACTATCAAGACTTTCATTTTATTTTTGTCCAAATCTGAAAGCAACCTTACAAATCAACACATAATTTAATAACCACACACATGATCCAAAATCAAAGAGAGATACCATTTTAATGGAAATATCAAAATTTAGTTAAAACCATTAATACTGACCATGGTTATATCCATTTGAAATTTTAAATTCACATTGTCAGTTATAACCAATACACACCACAATATTGGTCGATAGCTATGAGTAGTATCAATTCACTCCGTTAGAAAATAATATCTATGTAAAATCAGCTATATCTGTATCTTCCTACAAAAAGAGTCAGACTAAATCAGCTATATCTGTATTCAAGCTATATATTCAAGGCTCTTTGATGACTGCAGACTAAATCCTCAGCAGAACGTAGGAATTTAGGAGTTAAAATTCAAAGCCACCAACACATAGGTAGTCCAATTAGTTTTTATGTATAATTAATTATTATAACTCAATTTAGATCAAGAATTATTCAAGATTGTTGCCTCTTTCTCAAATGGCATGTAGAGTATACCTCTGTGTAATATGTCTTTAGGCATCTACGCACATGATAGAATTGATGCAAAAGCTAGCAAACTCTATGAATGAGGCTTTTTTAATATATGTATTTAGCATTAATTTATAAAAAAAATGTATTTAGTATTAATTTATTATTCCAACATTCCCTTGTACTTGTCTCCCCCATTTTCAAGACTTACACATATAATATTTGTGTGTGAAAAATAATCAACACTCTGCTCTCTCTCTATTTAACTCTCAATTTTTTATTTTCAATCTATATTGTCCCATTTAACTCTCTATTCATCTCATAATCTCCCTCATCTTGTATATATGTTTGTTGTACACATAGTGATACAATTATCTAGTAATCAATGGCATTGATTTTGTGGTTGTATTTTGATTTGAAAAAGGTCTGTAGTGTGTGTTTAGGAAAAGTTTAATCTTGACACCGCCTATCCCTATTGAGGGAATTAGTAGTGTTTCGGTGTAAATAGATCTCTAAATTACATTATATAATTATGATATTTAATTGTTTTATATTTCATTTTTTTTTTGAACTTCATATTTAGTTTTTTTTTTTTTAAACTAATGAGTCAATTTTCGAAGCAGTTGGACAAATGGATGAGAGACAAATTATATGCTATTGTCGATTTGATGGGAAAATTGACAAAAATGAGAATGGGGAAATTATATACATCGGCGGTGTCACAGACCCTTTTATGATAACAACAACAACAACATACGAATCATTTATAAATGAGTTACAACAACGTTCATCTTCAAACATGAGTGGTAAAGTCATATATTATACCACCGAATCTAACAAGAATGAACTTTTGAGGATGACGGGAGAATCTGGATTTAGAGTGATGCTTCTAGTGAGTGGTCCCATGCTAAATGTGTATATGGAAGATGCAGAGCCTGTAATTGCATCATGCACAATTCCTACTGATCATAGTGAGAGGTAAGACACATATATTTAAAGTAATACATTGATGTATGCGCTGCATAGGTTATGTGATTTTTAATATACCTTTTTATCCACTTGTAGACAATTTGTTGAAGCCACATCGCCAATTGGTCTTCTACAAAGTGTTGCGTCAACGTCTTCATTTCCTCCGATAAATGCGCATCGGGATTCTTTCCGACACATTGATGACATTCTTTGCGTGGATCAGCTTTTTGACAGCCCAAATGATTTCAAAGATGCACTCGTTTTGTTTGGTCTTCGTAATCATTTTCGGTTCAAGTACTTGGACAATAGCAGAAAATATTATAGAGTTGTGTGCGAGGTTAATAATTGTCCATGGAAATTATCAGCTGGTTGTGAAGGAAGTGGTGATATAGTGAGAATCAAGCGGTTTAATAATGTTCACACTCACACTGCTCAAGACATTTCAGATTATAAAGCCATTTTTTGGTCGAAGGAAATGGGTCGAGCTATTGTGAACAAGGTTAGGGACAATCCTAAATGCACCCCCAAGACTATTTCCACAGACATAAACGGTGAATTTTCTGCTAAAATGACTTACATGCAATCGTGGAGAGCTAAGGAGTGTGCACGTCATATCATTGAGGGAAATCCCAAGGATAGCTATATTTTAGTCCCGTGGTTGTGTGAACGAATAGCAGAATATATTCCTGGGACAATTACATCGTGGGAGTGCACGGATGATAGGAGATTTAAGCGAGTGTTTGTAGCTTATGGGTGCTCCATACGAGGTTTCATCAACTATTGCAGGCCCATGTTAGCAATCGATGCTTGCCACTTGAGTGGCAATTATAAAGGAACAATGCTTGGTGCAACGGGGTTCGATGCGAATGATGGCTTGTGGCCTTTGGCGTATGCTGTTGTTTCTTCTGAGAATGATGATGATTGGCATTGGTTCTTGAGCAAGGTGAAAGAGATTCTAGATGGTCGCATTGTGACAATCTTAACCGACAGGCATCCGAGCCTAATAAGTTGTATTAGAGATATTTTTGGCTCCCAGTACCACTCATGGTGTCTTCGTCACCTAACGGCGAATTTTTCTACATCCATTCTTGGGAGACAAAGTTTAGGATTGAGGGCTTCGGGTAAAGAGCATGCGAAAAAATTACTCGATAAAATTGCATATGCTCGAACTGTAGATGAGTATAAGAATGCATTGGCTGCCATGCGGGTATTTCGAGGGGAGTTATGCGATTGGGTTTTGGCGAATTCACCTGAACATTGGTCAAATGCTATGTTTACTTCCAAGCGTTGGGATAAATTATACACCAATCAAGCAGAGTCATTCAATGCATGGGTGAAAGAAGAGAGGGTTTTTTCAATCACAAGGTTGATGGATACACACATGCAAAGACTCAGCAAATTTTTATACCAAAAGAGTTTGGACGTTCAGAAGTGGACTATCCCGGTTGGGGATCGTATTGAGGAGAAAATAAAAAAAGAGCAAGAGTTAGCTCTTGGTTTTCAGTCGATGCGTGTTTCGCCTACTGAGTGTACAATATATGATCGAGACAGAAAACCATTCAGGGTGGTATTTGGCAGTGAAAATTCTTGTAGTTGTTTGAAGTGGACCATGAGTGGGATTCCTTGTTCGCATGCATGCTATGCCATCCATGAATTATCTTTAAATATTTATGAGATGGTTGATCCATGGTTTAGGGTTGAAACACAACAAAAACTATGTGAACATCTCATGTCTTCTGTCCCCATGCATGATATGCCGAATGCAGCTGCTGTTGCTGCAGCTGACGGTGAAGGTGCTTCCCATCTTAGGCCTCCTGCGGTAACACGTCCCCCTGGACGACCTCGTATTAAACGAATCGAATCACAATTTCAAAATGTAAGGTCGTTACACTGTTCGCGATGCGGCGAGAATGGTCATAATCGTCGAAAGTGCAAGGCTCCTATACCTGGATAGAATAGTTATATAATTGCTAATTCTAGTGGAGTTATTTTGTAAGGTGTTAAGGCCTTAAATATGGAATTATTTTGTAATTACTATTAATTCCTTGGAGCTCCCCTACTGCATTAGTATAACTATGTTGTGATAGTATTTCTAACTTATTTAGAAAACATTTCTAAGTATGATGTAACTTATTCTAAGTTGAATCTGTATTATTCGTCTGGTGGTTTATTTTGGTATTGAAATTATTTTCCTGGGTCCTCGTATGAGTCTCATGTGGAGTGTTATTTAAAAATCATAGGTGTGTGAGTTTTCTGGCAGCTGGAGGGTCGTGAAAGCAAGGAGGTTATGGGATTATGTGACAATGGACGGGCTTACATGTTACATGCTTACGGAAGGCTAGGAAAATAACATCATATTAAAGTCATTATGACTTGTTTCCTCACTATTAATTCCTTGGAGCTCCCCTACTGCATTATGACTGTTATTTCAACCACAATTTACCTCGTGAGTCTCTCTCTTCCTCACTTTCTTTGTGTCTCAAAAATTATATGAACATTGTGTTTACATTATCAACATTGTTTGACAGATGAGGCTGAATGGATAAATCAGTACAAAGGAAGAGTGTTCAGTTTAAACGACAAGCCTGTGGTGCATAAAATTTGGCTGCCGAATGAGGAATGCCCCAGATTGGCAATGTCTAGAGCCTTTGGGGACTACTTTATTAAGGATTTTGGACTTATATCCGTCCCTGAAGTGAGGTGTTGTCACATATAACCAGCAGAGACCAATTTGTTGTGTTGCGAACCGATGAGGTATGTATGGCACTTTTTGGTATTTATCACTTGTTCTTTTTTATACAATGACAAAGAAAAAGACTTGTTTGTTTCTCTATTAAATGTCCAAAAGATCACGTGAACGAATACGTTTCAAACTCACGAGCATAATTGACAATAATCACTTCAAATTATGTGATATCAGTTATTATTAATGAGTTTACAGGTTTTTGTTTTGGCTCAAATTGATTGGATTTTGAAATTAGTATGGATTTTTGAAGTTAATCTTAACATGCTGTGATCCTTGTTTTGTAAGCAGAATTCTTCCTATCTCTTCCTTCAAACCTTATTTAATCGGTAAGAAAATTTATTGATTTAAATTGATAGAAGAAAAATTGTGTGTTTAAGCTTCCAATGGACTTGGTTTCATGCAAATTGTTTGAGAATTTCTTTTTTATTGATTTTTCAAAGTGAAGTATGTATTTCTGGGAAAAATTGTTTCAAATAGATTTTTGGGCTTCCTTCTGATTTTTTGTTGTCCAAATTGTCCAATCATGTTTGATAGAATAAAAAAATAAATAAACAATAATAAAAAGGATTTTGCTATAATCTTAGTTGACTACTGTTACCCCATTTATTTATTTATTTTGTTTAGAGTCTTGCTTTTGGTTACTAGCGCCTAATAAAAAAGTTGTTTGCTCATATGTCCCTTATTTTTGAGTTTTTTCATTTAACCATCTCCACTTGTACAATATTTTGGTGTTATATTTTGTTTAATTGATTTGCATGTACTTCAAATGTAGTCTTCCCGCTAGGGGCTGGGAAGAGATAACAACGGGAGCGTCGATTGCATGGCTATCAAGTACATCAAATTTGTAAGTTATATGGTCTTTATGTTCGATAAAAATCTTTTATGATTGCACATTTGTAATGCTTTTTATACTCATACTCGGGGGGGTCACATGCCTTTAAGTGACCAATTTTATGGTGTATCATGAACTTTATTACCTTATTGCTACATCGGCCCATGTGGAGCCCATTTTTTTTTTTTCTTGTTTTAAAATGTTGAAAGCATGGGAGTATGGGATCATCGTATGTGGAGGTTTTGATTGATTGTTGTGGAGGAGAAGTTGTTGATATGTTGTTTAATGAGTTAATGCAAGTTCTCACGTTCTTCGTACATGTTGATATGTAGAGGTTTTGCTAATTTTCTCTTAAACCCAACTCATTCATCAACGCTCTCTTGCTCTCTCTCTCTCTCTCTCTAGTCTTGTTCATCGTTTTGCTAGGATTTCTACTCTATTTTTATACAATTTTAATCCCTATATATATATATATATATGCTGTTCCTAAAACATCAATTTTGGATTCAGGAATTGGACACAAAAATGTCGCGATTCCCTCTCTCCGATCAGAAACTTCGAAGGCAAAATTTGTGCGAAAAAGTATGTGTTTCCATCTGCTTGTGTGTGTTTATGTATGTTCGCCAACCAATTGATATTTTCGGCTTTCTGTTTCGTTGCAATGAATTCAAGAAAACGAGAAAAGTTTAAATTCTTTTAGCTTTTGTATCGAATTCCTTTTGATTTTCTTTCTTTTGTTTGTCTTCGTGAATTTGTTGGACTTTTGGATTTACTGTGAACTACGGTTTCTTCGTCTACTATTTGAATGTTTCTTTTTTTTAGACGATATCTAGTGTTGTTTGCAATATCTTTAGATTTTTGTGGTTGATGTTCCCATTAATTTCTTGGATTTTGATTTTTTTTCACGTAAGGGTTTCTTTAGCATATTTGGATGGTTTATTGTCTACGAATATGAGTTTTCAGGAATTTAGGGTTTATTTGTTCAACTTGTATAGATTCTGCACGACTATAATTTTTGACATCATTAGATAATTTTTTGGATGGTTTGGATTTCCATGGGATTCAACATGAAGATTCAGGGAAAACACACTCAATATGTTTTTGTTTCTATTTGTATAAATTTGGATTTACGTAGTTCTTTCTTTATTCAGAGAAATAGACCCAATAAAGTTTAAATAATCAATAGGTCCCATAATCTCTTGAGAGAGGTGCAATGAGATTGTGATCAAAGACACATCAAATAGAAGAAGTGAATTCAAATATATTTGATAATGAAGCAATAGGTATAGCCATTTTTGGGCTTTCCTTTCACAATTCCTCATTGGGGGGATCCACAACACTTCTCCCTTTTCCCCTTATAACTTCCTCCCACTAATTCGAATTAGGTCTAGCCGTCCTCCTTCATTCTCCATTTTTGTGTATGCTTAGTAGTGGGCTTAGAAGAGCAAGATTGGGTTGAATGACCAAAAGATTCACAATCTAACATCTGTGACTTCTCATATAGCTTCCTCTCTATATATACCAGTCTCGAACCTTGACCAGTGGGTTTATAATTCAAACCATAAGCCAACAGGCTATAAGGTGAACCGGTAAGCATTTTCATTTCTCCAGTTGTTAGGTTTCTAAGTGAGGAAAATAGATAATAATGTAATATTATCATATGTCCTATTGTCTTGGATTACAAAGAATTTTTACTCGAAAGGAACCAAAATAGTTGTAGAAGACAGTAACGATAGTTTCAGGTTTTGTTTTTGTGTTCCATATAAAGAAAATATTACATTTCAAAATATACTCTCTTTATTTATTTAATTTTTTTTTTAATATCTTTGCCTGCCTTCTTTTGTCATCGCAATAGGCTTCACACTAATCTTGCTCCTGGGTTTTAAACTCTATGGCTGATTTTTTCCTGTCATTTTGCCTTTTTATATATATATATATAGGTTTTATTGGAAATTCACACTAATCTTGTTCTTTTGGGATGGCAGCTGGATAGGTTTATTCCCAACCGATCTGCAATGGATTTTGATTTTGCACATTACATGCTCAACGGTGGGATGGTAAGAAAAGAAAGCCCAACACCATGCTCTCCAGCCAAAGAAGCTTACAGGAAGAGGATCCTTGCATTTTGTGTGGAAAAAGAAATTGGGCTTCTGTCAGTTTCTCTAACTGCATTTTGTGTGGAAAAAGAAAAACTTAAAGAAAAACATGGGTTTAAATGCAACACAACATGCATTTTTATATCCCATTTAAGTTCTGATAAAGTTGGTAGTTTCTTTTACGTTTTTTTTAGTTTGGAAGAGAACAAAGTCCAGTTTAGTGGTGAAGTGCAAGGTTGAATGAGGCATGTATCATTGAAGATTTTATTATACTGATATAATGCATAAAGTGAACTACTATGAAGGATTATGGCTTGTATAGTTGGCCTATATTTTAGAAAACAAATATTAGAACTAAGAGTATTATATTCTTTATTTGGAGTGAAATGAAATGTATTTATTGCAAATTGTCACATTTCTCATGATCTAGGCATTAGATTTGATTTTTCTGGTGCCACCTCTCCATCCTGTACTCTATTTTTCATGGTTTTTCTGAACAGCTAAGGACTTTGCAAGACGGGCATAGTTCAAGGGTTGGTTCTCTTGATATCCAATGACAATCACACACTGTATTAGAAAACTGTATTAGAAAATTAAAAGAAACCAAAAACTGTCTTGGTATGGATGATGGCTTTAGGATACTGCTGAAGAAAATACTAAAAAAAAATAAAATAAAATAACTGTGTTGGTGTAGGAGTGATCCCAAAGTAGGGTTATTAAAGAAATTAAAGACTCAAAAGGTGATGTTTAACTGGTTAATCTTGAAATATAGTTGCAGTTTCTTTGTCCAGTTCTTTTATGATCCTGTTTTCTTACCCCTTGCTGAAAATATCCTATACTGGATCTTGGTTCCCTTTACTATTTTGTCTATTACTACTTACATATCTTGTTCACTGATAATCAAGTTAAATTATACTTGTACTTGAGAATCCAATATAATTAATTGGTCTTTCTGGGTGTATACCAAAATTTACATGAAAATACAAAACCTTTGGAATTAAATTAGGCGGGTCACGGGGATTTAGACCTCCATTACCCAAATTAATTGTATGGGAAAGCAGTATTGTTTATCAGGAGTAGGCGGAATTAAGTTGCCTACTGCCCAAATTAGCACTAGGCTCTCTTATCTTGGTTTTGTTTATTTATGTATGTTATTTTGTTCGTACGTTTTGGTAGTAGTTTCTTCGCTACTTTTTGTTTGTCAATGATGATGATATCTATTTGATTCATAAATGACATTATAATAGTTTTGTTAAAAGAAAGACATTAGATTAGTAAATTGTAATTACAAATAGGGATGTCAATAGTCTGCCTCATGACAACAATGGCACTATTTATAACTTTTTCAAACACTAAGGCTTTTTCTTGATGATATGACCATACCTCTTTATCTGCCATGGTGTAAGGCTGTTTTACATTATTTGGCTTTTTGTTCAATCACATGGCTAGACACAGAATGGGACTCTTACTGAATAAATCAGCTCTTGTAGATAAACAAAAGCAACCCACTTTCATATCTTATCATCACATGGCTAAAGTTAAAAATAGTGGTGGTAGGTGCATGAACTATTATGCAAAACACCCCACTTCCTGCCAAAGAGAGAGAGAGAGGTGTAAGTCCCTTTTGTCAAATCATCACATGGGTAAAACTCATTCACATGTCTGTGAATTGGGCATTGTAAATAGACATATGGCATATGCACAATGCCATAACATTAGCACTAGTAAATCTCAAGGACTGAGTTTTTTTGAGCAATAACGGGGAGGTGGAATTCATACAAAATACTGCATAAAATAAATAAAAATTACATACATTTCATATACATACTGCATAAAATTTAACTCAACTACTAAGTTTTTTTTAGCAATAACGGGGAGGTGGAATTACAAAGTCATCATCCCCTGTATCTGAATAATCTGACAACTCTGAAGCAACTTATAAGTCTGGATCATTAGTAATGGCTTGAATAACTTCAATTGGATCCTTATGCATCTTCTTTGCAATGGAAATGCTCTCATTCCTGCAACATCTGACATATAGATTTTTTAATAGCTTTGATCAAATATGAGAAAAAATAAAGATACTACATAATCAAAGTGCACTTAGAAATCTATTTAAAAAATAAATTAACATTATAATAGTTTTGTTAAAATAAAAACTTTAGATTAGTAAATTGTAATTACAAATACGGATGTCAATACTCTGCCTCATGACAACAATGCCACTATTTATAACTTTTTCAGACACTAAGGCTTTTTCTTGATGATGTGACCATTCATCTTTATCTGCCATGGTGTAAGGCCACTTCAAATTATTTGGCTTTTTTTTCAATCACATGGCTAGTCACAGAATATGACTCTCACTGAAAAAATCAGCTCTTGTAGATACACAAAACCAATCCACTTTCTCATCTTATCATCACATGGGTAAAGTTTAAAATAGTGGTGTTAGGTGTATAACACGACAACTATTATGAAGACACCCCTATCATGCCAAAGAGAGAGATGTGTAAGTCCCTTTTGCCAAATCATGATATGGGTAAAATTCATTCACATGTCTGTGAATTGGGCTCTATAAATAGACATATGGCATATGCACAAAACCATAACATTAGCACTAGTAAATCTCAGTTGTTGATCTATGGATCGAAAGTATATAGAACGAAAGTACTCGTTAAGAGATGCATGGATTGAAAGTAGTTGTTTTACATTCTCAATCGTTCTCAAAACTATTCCATTTATAATTCCTCACATCGATGGTTCATTTTTTTTTGTAAAACTAACCTGGCATGTAATCATCGTCGCCTCCATCGAGATTTGGTGTGTATTTATTTTTCAATGTGTTCAAGTGTGTATTTATTTTTCCCTCAATAAACGTTTCAAAAGTGTTTTTACAAATGTACCCTGTATTTATTTTGCTATTATTTGGCTTCTATTCATTATAGCATTATAAGCTATTCCATTTTTAACTCCTCATATTTGAAACTATTCCATTTTTAACTCCTCACGACATTTCGTGAGGCCATGAGACCCCTCCGACGTATAGGATTTTGCTGCTTGCCATTGTCTTCAACCATCAAATGTTCTTCCTTCATATATAAGAAAATACTAGGAAATCTCCTCAGTATATATAATAAGATAGTAGGAAATTTTCGAACTCTAGTGAATTGTCTTCCATAAATTCATGCTAACCCTTGTAAAAATATTTTGTGTTATTAACCTCTCTCACTTCAACCCGCTACGATTTGCTTGCATAACTCCTAATTATAGACTTGGAAGGTAAAACTCTATCAAATTGCTTAAGGAACGCTGGTGGAAGTTGTAGTCGTTGAGAGCTCCGTTCCGGGAGAAAAACTTTGAAGAACTATGGACACAAATCAGGTAAGGAGAACTTTTTGCAAAGTACTATTTCATAATGGAACTGGCTTAAAAGCAGCTTCTTTACCTATTAGGGAGAGAATAATTGTTTTTAGGATATCTTATAGAAAAAAAAAAAAATTAGCTTATGTGTAATGTTTTAAGTGATGTTGGACTATATTTTGTATTACTCATTCCCTCAAGTTAGATAGATTGGAATAAAGTTTGTACTCTTTATGGCACTAATGGATTTATTTATGGATGTAATGTGCAACCTAATTAGCGGTGTGGGTTATAATACCATTTTCAATTGCAAAAATAAATCCCTTTTGCGAAGGTAACACTTTTTTTCCAAAGGTACCACATTTTTGAACTGAAGGTACCACTTTTTGGCGTCAAGGTACCACGTTTTCTCTAAACACTTATTCATGGCGCTAATGGAGCTATTTGTGGATGTAATGTGCAAGAAAATTAGCGGTGTGGGGTGCAATACCATTTTCAATTGCAAAAATAAATCTCTTTTGCAAAGGTACCACTTTTTTTCCAAAGGTACCATGTTATTGAACTAAAGGTACCACTTTTTGGCGTCAAGGTACCACGTTTTCTCTAAACACTTATTCGTGGCGCTAATGGAGCTATTTGTGGATGTAATGTGCAAGAAAATTAGCGGTGTGGGGTGCAATACCATTTTCAATTGCAAAAATAAATCTCTTTTGTAAAGGTACCACTTTTTTTCCAAAGGTACCATGTTATTGAACTAAAGGTACCACTTTTTGGCATCAAGGTACCACGTTTTCTCTAAACACTTATTCATGGCGCTAATGGAGCTATTTGTGGATGTAATGTGCAAGAAAATTAGCGGTGTGGGGTGCAATACCATTTTCAATTGCAAAAATAAATCTCTTTTGCAAAGGTACCACTTTTTTTCCAAAGGTACCATGTTATTGAACTAAAGGTACCACTTTTTGGCGTCAAGGTACCACGTTTTCTCTAAACACTTATTCGTGGCGCTAATGGAGCTATTTGTGGATGTAATGTGCAAGAAAATTAGCGGTGTAGGGTGCAATACCATTTTCAATTGCAAAAATAAATCTCTTTTGTAAAGGTACCACTTTTTTTCCAAAGGTACCATGTTATTGAACTAAAGGTACCACTTTTTGGCATCAAGGTACCACGTTTTCTCTAAACACTTATTCATGGCGCTAATGGAGCTATTTATGGATGTAATGTGCAACTTAATTAGAAATGCGGGGTGTAATACAATTTTCAATTGCAAAAATAAATCTCTTTTGTAAAGGTACCACTTTTTTTCCAAAGGTACCATGTTATTGAACTAAAGGTACCACTTTTTGGCATCAAGGTACCACGTTTTCTCTAAACACTTATTCATGGCGCTAATGGAGCTATTTATGGATGTAATGTGCAACTTAATTAGAAATGCGGGGTGTAATACCATTTTCAATTGCAAAAATAAATCTCTTTTGTAAAGGTACCACTTTTTTTCCAAAGGTACCATGTTATTGAACTAAAGGTACCACTTTTTGGCGTCAAGGTACCACGTTTTCTCTAAACACTTATTCATGGCGCTAATGGAGCTATTTGTGGATGTAATGTGCAAGAAAATTAGCGGTGTGGGGTGCAATACCATTTTCAATTGCAAAAATAAATCTCTTTTGCAAAGGTACCACTTTTTTTCCAAAGATACCATGTTATTGAACTAAAGGTACCACTTTTTGGCGTCAAGGTACCACGTTTTCTCTAAACACTTATTCATGGCGCTAATGGAGCTATTTGTGGATGTAATGTGCAAGAAAATTAGCGGTGTGGGGTGCAATACCATTTTCAATTGCAAAAATAAATCTCTTTTGCAAAGGTACCACTTTTTTTCCAAAGGTACCATATTATTGAACTAAAGGTACCACTTTTTGGCGTCAAGGTACCACGTTTTCTCTAAACACTTATTCATGGCGCTAATGGAGCTATTTGTGGATGTAATGTGCAAGAAAATTAGCGGTGTGGGGTGCAATACCATTTTCAATTGCAAAAATAAATCTCTTTTGCAAAGGTACCACTTTTTTTCCAAAGGTACCATGTTATTGAACTAAAGGTACCACTTTTTGGCGTCAAGGTACCACGTTTTCTCTAAACACTTATTCATGGCGCTAATGGAGCTATTTGTGGATGTAATGTGCAAGAAAATTAGCGGTGTGGGGTGCAATACCATTTTCAATTGCAAAAATAAATCTCTTTTGCAAAGGTACCACTTTTTTTCCAAAGGTACCATGTTATTGAACTAAAGGTACCACTTTTTGGCATCAAGGTACCACGTTTTCTCTAAACACTTATTAATGGCGCTAATGGAGCTATTTATGGATGTAATGTGCAACTTAATTAGAAATGCAGGGTGTAATACCATTTTCAATTGCAAAAATAAATCTCTTTTGCAAAGGTACCACTTTTTTTTCAAAGGTACCATGTTATTGAACTAAAGGTACCACTTTTTGGCGTCAAGGTACCACGTTTTCTCTAAACACTTATTCATGGCGCTAATGGAGCTATTTGTGGATGTAATGTGCAAGAAAATTAGCTGTGTGGGGTGCAATACCATTTTCAATTGCAAAAATAAATCTCTTTTGCAAAGGTACCACTTTTTTTCCAAAGATACCATGTTATTGAACTAAAGGTACCACTTTTTGGCGTCAAGGTACCACGTTTTCTCTAAACACTTATTCATGGCGCTAATGGAGCTATTTGTGGATGTAATGTGCAAGAAAATTAGCGGTGTGGGGTGCAATACCATTTTCAATTGCAAAAATAAATCTCTTTTGCAAAGGTACCACTTTTTTTCCAAAGGTACCATGTTATTGAACTAAAGGTACCACTTTTTGGCGTCAAGGTACCACGTTTTCTCTAAACACTTATTCATGGCGCTAATGGAGCTATTTGTGGATGTAATGTGCAAGAAAATTAGCGGTGTGGGGTGCAATACCATTTTCAATTGCAAAAATAAATCTCTTTTGCAAAGGTACCACTTTTTTTCCAAAGGTACCATGTTATTGAACTAAAGGTACCACTTTTTGGCGTCAAGGTACCACGTTTTCTCTAAACACTTATTCATGGCGCTAATGGAGCTATTTGTGGATGTAATGTGCAAGAAAATTAGCGGTGTGGGGTGCAATACCATTTTCAATTGCAAAAATAAATCTCTTTTGCAAAGGTACCACTTTTTTTCCAAAGGTACCATGTTATTGAACTAAAGGTACCACTTTTTGGCGTCAAGGTACCACGTTTTCTCTAAACACTTATTCATGGCGCTAATGGAGCTATTTGTGGATGTAATGTGCAAGAAAATTAGCGGTGTGGGGTGCAATACCATTTTCAATTGCAAAAATAAATCTCTTTTGCAAAGGTACCACTTTTTTTCCAAAGGTACCATGTTATTGAACTAAAGGTACCACTTTTTGGCGTCAAGGTACCACGTTTTCTCTAAACACTTATTCATGGCGCTAATGGAGCTATTTGTGGATGTAATGTGCAAGAAAATTAGCGGTGTGGGGTGCAATACCATTTTCAATTGCAAAAATAAATCTCTTTTGCAAAGGTACCACTTTTTTTCCAAAGGTACCATGTTATTGAACTAAAGGTACCACTTATTTATGGATGTAATGTGCAACCTAATTAGCGGTGTGGGGTATAAAACCACGTTTTCAACTGCAAAAATAAATTCCTTTTGCGAAGGTACCACTTTTTTTCCAAAGGTACCACGTTTTTGAACTGAAGGTACTCATTTTTGGCGTCAAGGTACCACGTTTTCTCTAAACACTTATTCATGGCGCTAATGGAACTGTTTGTGGATGTAATGTGCAACTTAATTAGCGATGTGAGGTGTAATACCATATTCAATTGCAAAAATTGGTACCTTTTGTAAAGGTACTACTTTTTTCCCAAAGGGACCACGTTTTTTGAACTGAAGGTACTTCTTTTTGGCGTCAAGGTACCACGTTTTCTCTAAGGAAGATCCAAACCAATTTTTCATTCATTAAACTATCCATTTATCGACACCATGGAACCAAGGAAGATCCAAACCAATTTTTCATTCATTATAAACTGCTTCAGTTTTAAACTCCATCAAATTTGAAATTAGTACATTAATATAGTAGTGAAAGAAATTTCATTGAGACCCTAATATAATAAGCCATACAATACTAATTCCTGAGAACCCAAAAGAGCAACTTCATTTGATTTCATGTAAGGTAGATGCCAATATAATAAGCCATACAATAGTTGCAAAAATATACCAACCTAATCCACAATCAAAAGTTGCAAAGCTACTATTCTTTAAAACTTTAAAAATAGCTAACACCAACAGAGTGCAAAATACATGAAAAAAAAATGACACTATTCAACAATACAAATGTCCCATATCCCACATCATTTCAGGTACCACTTTTTAGAAAATTCAACGATCGTCCTATCCCACTTCCTCTAGCTTCCAACTGGGCAAATACTGGTATGTGAGGTTCCTTGAGGTAAATGGTACCTTGTTAGCTGATGGAGGTGATGTTAGAATCATAAAAATAAAAAATAAAAAATAAAATTACTAACCACAAGTAAGCTGATGGAAGCTTACTTGAAATCAACATGCTTGACCAAATGGATAAAGTGCTTTGTTCTTTACAAAATCCTTCATTGTGTTATTGTCATCTGAAAGCAAATTTGAAGCAATAATTGCACGTAATCTATCAACATCCACCTGCAAATTAAACCAGGTAAAGACAAATCATGAATATAGGATTGGGAAATGGACTTCATGCGTGAATACATATAAGTGTAAATAGATAGGAATCTAGTGTTGCAGAAACTATATATTTGATAAAGAAAATTTTTTCAACAATGTTGAATTTGGCATATGCACAAAATCTCGGTGATACTAAACTTTTATATGTGAAATATTGCATAAACAGGTAGCTTCATCCTTGGGAAATATGTTAGCAATTTGGTCAGATCAGCACAGAGACAGAACATAAACAAAACCAAAACAAATCTAATAATACGAAAGATCTCCCTGTCCCAAAATAGTTATCCCTTTTTACTGATTCCAAACACTCAATGGCACACACCTTTTTTCTGACATTCCAAAAGTAATCTTAAAGTGACTATTTATTTTGAAATTTTTTAATCATTCATTTCAATATGTCGTAGTTTCAGTATCTTTTGTGTTCGGTTCATTTTTAATGAGCACCACTAAGTACAGTGAAGTGACCATATTAACTGCAATATGTTCATTTAAAATGACAGGAGTCCAGTATTTGCGTATCTAATTGGTTAGGTGATGTAGGAAAAACAAGGTTGACTAATGATTTAAGCTACTGATCTCATACTGAATTCTTTGACAATGAAAAACTGTCTGAAAATATTTAAGAATATGCTATTCATTTAAACCTCATCTAGCAAAGCTGGTTTCTACTCGATAGGACCCATTATACAGTGGATGTCAAACATTTTCTATATCATTCATTACAAGGGAGTACTGTTGCTTACTTCATGTTAGATTAAAACTCACTAGAGCTGGATGCTTTCTCTTTCAAAAAAATGGCACACATTAAGGGTATACTGCATTAGGGGGTTCTAAGGTTGAAAATTTTGTTGCCTAAAGGGGTTGCTTACCGCTCTCTTTGTTTCAACACGTGCCATAGTCCCCTGGTCTTCCCGCTATTGACACTACGACATTGCAGCCTAGCGGGGAGAGATCGGAAAGCGAAGTACTTGCACACAAACATGGGTTTAAAAGATGCAAAAAGAAAAAAGAAAGGTATAAGCTGGAAAACGTGTAAAAACAGAATGGGGAGTGCAGTGAAGAGGAAGGAAAACGTTATAGTGGATGCATTTTGTGGTTGCATTAATTTTTTAAATTATGTTTGCATGTATTGGAATTGAAGACCCTCCAGTTTCAACCCTTGAACAAAAGTATGTAGGAATGTGGATCAGTTTTACAAATATATTTTTTGAAACCTTTAAAGGCAAGACCCATTTCTTCCTTTGAAGACTAATGACCAGTGGGTGCTTAGATTAACAATGCACCAATGGTTTAGAAGAAAACAGAGAATTAAATGATTAACGAAGAGTATCGAGGAGATTGTGTGATTTAGTAATTCGGTAATTTCTTCATTCGGGGAAAAAAATAAATAAGACCCATGTAAAAAATAGAATTGGGCTTCACCTTCTCTTTTGGGTGACTGAGTGAACCATCCCATTTCTCCATGAAGTCCAACATGAAAGCACCACAACTATCACTGAATAAAAGACTGTTTAGGTATCTGTTAATTATAATTGTGAACATAATCAGTACACCAAACTAGGAACATTAAGTGATAAAATTACCTATCGGGCTGTTGAGGTACGTTGGGCACATTGTATATGAAGTTTTGTAGATCTCTTCCGGTGAATACCTCAACCAACATTACCTACAAATGCACAATATATAAATGATTAGAGTAAAAAATTCAGTACCACGTTCTTCAACTTGTATACTTTACCGTCTTAATTTAACAGTAAATGAATACATAATCAAAAAAATGAGCTCATATGTAATAAGCGTTTACCAAATCTTTTGACATCTTGTCTGGAGTACGCTTATCATGCGAAGAATGTTTGTTTGAATCCAACACATCCATACGACTATCGCAAATGTTAAAGACATACAAGCACCAATGTTTCTCATTTACAAGTATTGGAAAGAAAAGCTGCATATTTAACAATGTAAAAATTTAATTACTTTTAGAATCATATTTTTTTGATAAAAGTATAATAATTATTTATGTTTGCAAGCGATAAATATTACCATATTGAATTGGCAAACTTTGTTATCATCGACATTCCTTATCCTTTTATAGTTGTTCCAAACTGCTTGTATTTTACCTTTCCTATCAACCACTTTTGAAGGTATCTTGGAAAGTTCAATCTGAAAATGCACACAATTGATAACCTAATATGTGTCAAACAAACATTCACTATAGATAGAAGAATTTGTTACCCCAATCGAAGGCGGAAAGAAAAATTTGGTTCCTCTACGCTTTTGTTTCAGCTGGAGCATTTGGCAATAGACTTCAACCACCTACAATGATCACATTTAAACCATTAATGCATGCGTGTGATTGGTTTGAAAAATCAATGAACTTTAAGTGAACATACCATATTTGATATCCAATGATTGTAAGAGATTGTTCTCATCTCTTTTCTTGTGAGGAAAATATCATTTATGTTCACCAGCATTTCACTATAATTAAACAATAACATATTAAGTGTTTGAGCATAGAAAGTAAGTAAATATAGAGCAAATAAGAAATTATTTATATAATTTCTCACTCATCATTTCTGCTCTCATCCATGGCATATGAGATGACTGCCTTTGCTTCTGGACGAAGGACACGCAATCGGTTGACCTTCATTTCAACCCAAGGTGATCCCTTATGGCGCCCAGGCTTTATAACACGTAATAAAGGGATCACTGCTTCCTGCACATCACGCTCCTCTTCCATTGCTGTGGAGGTTCCCACTTCCTCCTCCATTGGTGCGGGGATTTCTCCTTCCTCCTCCATGGGATCGTGTTTTGTAAAAGATTGCCAGGGTGAGTTTGCTTGTCTTGTGGAGGTTTCGAATTCCTCCTCCACTGGTATGTGGGATTCATCTTCCTCCTCAATCGGATTGTGTTGTGCAAACAATTGCGAAGATAGGTTAGGTTGTCGTGTGGATGAACTGGGTTCTGAGGATCTCGACCCCCTGCCTTGGCCTACATTGTGCCGTTGCTTCCATTTCTTAACAACTTTAATAATTTCATATGCCAACTCCTAACAATTTTAAACAAGTTTAATAAATATATATATCAGTTAATATATAAATGTAACCGTAGAGTTCCAAGTAATTATGAATATGCAAATATAACCGTATATTTAGTACCAATTATAAAAAGCCATAATTGACGTGATTACCTTATCGGCATCTTCAGATGTATCAGTTGTAAACTTTACCTCACCGAAGCCGAAACCATTATATTTATGCTTCTCCAAATTCAACCTCTCGCCTATTAATTTGTTGGTCCATCCACGTACGCATGACATCTCAGGCTTCGGTTTTGGTCCATTGACATCCACACGGTGTAGGTAGAAAAGCTACAACATATAAGCCATTATGATAATGACATTATAGCTATTTAAAATAAAATGATAGACACATTACAAATATTATATCTTAGAACATACCATGAGAAAGAACAAGCATCCATGTATGTATGTACAACCTTCTCTTCCTTCCTTTCCTTTATAGGACGCAATTCCTTTTTTCAACCAATCTAAAACAAACTTCCCCCAATTATACGATTTAATAGCATCCACATTGTCAACCGCTGCCAATAACCTTTTGCTTGTCTCATTTTTCGATATGGGTGCTAGAAGTGATCCGCAAGCGAAAAGGACAAAAGCCCTCTTGAAGTCATCCCCAACAGGAAGAACGTCTAATTGATGCACTAAGTTTGGCACTTCTATTACACCGTCCTTTAAAAAAATGCCATTTTCTAACCAATGCACACTTTGTACAATATAATTTGGCACATCTTCTCCTCTTCCCGAGGGTAGGCCAAGTACCTCTTCAACGTCACTTGGCGTAACATGGATCCGAGCGCCAGATTCAAGGGTGAGATGAGATGTTCTAGGGTCAAAGTGTTCTACCAACCATAAGCACAGGTTGCGCTTCAAAATGGTACACTCGATGTCTAAAAGGGACCCAAACCCAATCTCTTGTACGGCAACCTTTTTGTCTTCACTTAAATTGCAAACCGTTTCCTTGAATTTATTTGGAGAACACCGGGTATTCAACATCTACAAATAAATTACCAACACAGGCACATTAGATACAAAAAGGAAGGATAGAGCACATATATGGACATAACAGTCCAACTTAAATTTACCAATTTGCACTTCTACACATTACATGTTGAAAAGATTCAATCTCAAATCTGCTAGCTTACAAAGGCACTTGGGAGTACTCATATATTCCTAATTCATTAATTCAATACACATTCTTCGGAATTAATCCAACTAAGCACGTTAATGATAGGTAAAACACACAAAAATAAGCATATATAAAGCATCACTTAACCCAATCGAATAGATAAAAGGAAAAAAAAAAAAAACACTTACAGTTTTTATTTTTATTTCTTTTATTGAAATTGTTGAAAAGTTCTTTTCCTTGGATGTTAATGGTCGTATGGTTTACCTAATAAGGGAAGGAGGAAGGATCCAATGTCCTCATACCATTTGTTATAGGAATGAAGGTTCTACCTCGTATTTTTAATTAGAGAATAACTCTAGGGGGTTTTGATTACCATTGGAAATGCTCAGCTCAGAGGATAAGTAATGGACCTTTTTGTTGATGATCTTATGTTAATCACAGCTGGGATGTTGAATCTGTTAAAATACTGACAGAATCAATAGCTCAATTTAGTTTTAACTTCTATTTCTAGCTTGATTCCAAATAATGCAAAGAGGTGTCATATTCTGATCTGGTATAGAGACTGCTACTCAAAACCTAATTCTCAGAAAGCTTAATTTCTCTATTAGGACCCTCCCAATTAGATATTTGGGAGTTTTATTATTGTCTAATAGACTGAATAAACAGCACTGTGATCCTTTAATTGAGGAGTTTTGGACTACCAACTACTCATTTTGTGCTGGAAGGTTACAACTTATAAAGTCTATGCCATTCTCAGTGCAAGTTTATGTGGCTTCCCCCTTTGAATCTAGGACATTCAAAATTCAAACACACAATCAATTACCAATTAAGCACCCAAATTGGCCCACAAATATTAATAACATCAGTTTCTCGAGTCAAATAAATAAGTTAAGAATTATCCTTTTTCAAATAAAGTTTTATGACAACACCATGATAATGATGATTTTTATTTTTGGGAAGCACTGGAAGTGTTTTTGTTGCTTCTACAACTGAATAACTACACAAATCTTTCAACCTTCAAACACAAAAACACACACACAAAAGAAAATAAAAAAATAAAAAAATGAAAATTTTGTTGTTTATATATTAATAAATTTTGTTACTTTATATTGTACTTTGTTTCATATACAATTGGGTGCCTGTCTTAATTGACAGATTTATGCTTCATGCGGTTAACATCCAATTTATTATTAGCATGAAAAAAACTGGAATAAAAAATATATATATATATTTAAATAATTAAAGATATGACTTACCAGTATGAAGTGATGAAAGCACTCTAAAATATGGTAAGACCGTAGGGTGCTGCAATTGTAAAAATTATAATCCACAATAAGGGCCTTCAGCTTGTTCAAGACTAAAGTTCAACCCAAATTTACCAATTAGTCTTTCAAATCCTGCAAAGGGAGATCCTGTTTCAGTCATTATCTTCACAAATATTTATAACTAAAATTCATAAAAAAAAAAAAAAAGTATATAAAAAAGATCATAAAATTTTTTACCAAATAGGATTTAGTTTGCAAAACAAGAATTACAGTTACAAATCTCAGAACAAGATAACCATAAACACGAGAAGCTAGAATGAACACGAACAGTCATCTTAAGACATATACACCAACTTATTAACTATTAATAGAAAATCGAACATGACACAGATATTCAAATTTATAAGTCCAGTCTTCATTTAAGCTGAGTCTTATGCAGTAGTTATGCTACAAAATAGGAACCACATGCTTTAGCTTTTATGTTACTATAATTATAAATTAAGGAAGGCTATTCTAAGTGTAAAGAAATAAGAAAGTGTGCATCAGAAACAAAGAAATAAAGAAAGAATTAATGAAAGAAAATAGAGTTAGCATGCATAGGAATGCAAGGCTCTCTTCAAACTGGCAACTGTATGCTAAACTAAAAACTACTTCAACCCTTGTTTTCTTTAGATATACTCTTGTTGAAACTCAGAATTTGTAATTTGGTGGTTTGACAAATCTCACACATACATGTTACTTTCAGAAAAATATGTGTACATGAGTCCAGTTAACTGATGGGAGATATTCTGATGATGTTTTCTTGAGTCTCCGTTCAAGTTTCAAGCTTAAATAATTTATCCTATCATGAATTTATAAATAAGGTCACATCAAATCCAACTTCTAAATATTAATTTTTTTGTCTTTCTTAAAGGGCAATAAGAAAATTGAAGACCCAATCAGGGTCATCTCTCCTTTCTGCATTTCGATCAGCAAAAGGAGAAAAGGTTTTGGAAGTGGAAGGGACAATCACCAGCCAGCCGGTTCTTCAAGACGTGGGAATTTCTACATGGCCTAGTATATTTTTGTGATAGTTCAACTCTTTAGTATTCAAAATGCTACTTTATATATATATATATATATATATATATATATATATATATATATATATTTGATAAAAAAAAAAGGGGTCAGGTGACATGGTGAAAGCTTAAACTGGCCACTATAAGGAGACATATTTAAGTATGAGATCAGCCATTTCGTAGGCTGTAAACAAGCTGAGTCAAGCCAACTTTATAGAGCTTATGCTCAGCTTGGCTGGTTAGAAGCAGTGTCTGAGCTTAGTTTGAGCTTGGTTAATTTTTTAACAGTTGTGATCAAACTTGACTCACTCAAATAAACCAATTACTCAGCTCGGTTCGCATAAATGAATTGAGTTCTTAAGAAGTTCTGGAGGATGGGAAATTTGGAGCCTTGTTATCATAATTGTTAGTCAAAATAAAATACGCGCGTCATGCTTTGCAACTTCTCACTGTTGGAGCAAAAGATTGAGAAAATGTGTCTGTGTGACTGTAGATTCTTAGTTTTAATTGTTGATTAAATTTGGACCATTGACTTCTTTTTCTGTAAACAAATGAATATCAAATCTAAAAGATAGGTGAAACGCATGAAAAACTTAAATTAACAGGATAATCTGCCAAGGAATGCTCTACGATGTCTCTAAATGCTAGTTCAAAGTTTCAAATTATGTATCCACGTAAGGTATAAAGGAAAAAACAATCATGAGACTTGCTACATCAACAATATTCAAACATATATACAATAATAACAACGAAATAGTAAAAAAAGGTTCAATAATTGCTGTACTACTTTCACAAGTGATTGAAATTTGCAATAAACTGTACATTATGCATAAAAAGGCTTCCTAATAACTATTGGAAAATCTGAAAATTTGGATACAAGTCCATTCAACCAATCTTTTCCTAAGTCCTTATACTTTATCCTATGTTTGGTTGCCAAGAAATTGGGAAAACAAGAAGAAATTAGGAAACATGGAATCTTGTAACAATTCTACTCCTTTATAGAAACTTGTTAATCTTAAAGTTTTTCTTCTTTCCTTATTTTCTCTGCTACCAAATAATAGACAGTTCAAAATTGTTGTGTTCTAGCCTAATTTAACCTACATCTTAACTTAAAAAGTCCAAGCAAAGACTTAAACTTTTATAAAAGATTGGGATGATCAATACCAAAGTCCATGCCTTCTAGCAAACAAATTTAATGACATAGCTAGCCCTTTGTCCTACATTGTTAATTCTCAACATACACAAAGAAACATCATCCACATATGGTACAAAATGAAATTTTGCATATACACCATTATTAGTAAGACAAATCCAACAAAATGAGATTAATTAATCAACAATAATCTACTTATCCTAAATTATTTTTCAGTCAACTTGTTCATTCTATAGAGAAAAGAGTATCACCCAGTGGCCTAATTGATAGAGTGGCCAGCTTCCTGTGTTCGAGTCCTTTCTCCTTCTAGTTTGCCAAGGAAAAAAAAAATAGAGAGAAAATACCATTTTCATGGCTGGGAATAACATGCACTTCTACTGTTACGTTATTAGAAATAATTGTACTTTAGCTTGATGGAATGTCTGGAACAAAATTTTAGCAACTTGAGGTATAAAATCTACAAAAGAAGTACATTATTCGCTTGGAATTCAACATTTTAATAGAAAGAAATCTTTAGTATGCATATGTTTCTGGTAAGGGGAGAAAATTGTGACATTTCAGTAATCAAATAGGCATAATATGGAATCTAATCCCTAATAATTGAGAAGTAAAGTCATAAGATTAAAGATGCAAAACTAAGACAAAGATGAAATAATTAACACATTTATTGTATAAGATAACTGCAATTGTTGGTAGAATATATCAACTACTTATTCCTATATAAGAGATTATACCTAGTTGATACTTCCATAATCATTATCTTCACCTTCTCACCAAAATTAAAGCACGTATGTAAAAAGCATGCTATTAACCACCATTAAACTTAACTAGAAAACTTAAAAATAATATTTTTGGAGTAATTATCTAAAAAACAAAAGTGACTAAACAAGATTCTTGAAATTGTACCAAATAATTGAAGAAATATAATGTTAGTATCATTATTGGAGGTAGTGCATACTATGTCCCAGGAGGTAGTTAGTAGCCAATACATATATCTTGTAGCAAATATTTTGTAGCCGTAGTTCCTTATTTTGTAGCAGATTAAGGTACTACTTCTTTCCGATATTCCCTATGGCAACCACTTAGTTATCGCGTATGTGTCTAACTTCTGGCTATAAAATAGCATTTTTAACTACACAGCCAGACATAGCATAGGTACGTAGTCTCTTCTATACATACCAATATTGAAGAGCTTCTTCCTTACATAACTACTACTATATTAGGAACTACTTGACTGCCTTACCCATTATACATGGATTTGTGCTCTATGGTAGATTGAGTTTATAAATTTGTATATAACCTCTCATCACATGGTACTAGTCACAGTTGTGAAGTCCTTGAAGAGAGTTCAGGCTTATGGGTTTTTGGTGAAGTAGCTCTGATTGTCTTTTTGGGTTAATATAATTTATAGTGATTTCGATTATATTCTTAAGAGGATTATAGAACCTAACCTTCTAAAGTTCACAAGAACAGGAATGACATCGGTTTAAAAAATCTTAATAACAACTTCCACTTTATCTTCACTAGCTGAGAACTTATCCTGTCATTATCTACAAAAAATTGAAGTCAGTGAAGGTTTCCTGTCTCGAAACAACAGAAATTTGAGATTTACCACAACTTTATGAAATTCTGCATGATTAGTTACAAGTGTTTCCCAATGAGAACTCATTAACACCACAGTTATTTTTCCCTTAACTTTTGGATTTGACTTATTTACTTCCTTGCATAATATATAACCAATAATTGTATTGCCATCACACCTACCATGAACAGAGGAGTTATCAATAGTAATCATAGTCATATTTACAATGAGACTACAAAGAAATTACCAGTATTACTGGTATGCAGTTATTTTGAAAAATCCTCTAATATTTTTTTATCTTTTTTTTTTAAAGTAAAAAAAATCCTCTAATCTTATCTTTGGAGAAACAAGAAAGTTTAGTTCCACTTTTTATTGCAAATTAGTATGCACCCAATTGGAGCAGTAGCACAACCAAAACCAAAAAGGATAAAACTGAATCATTCTTCTATTAAAAAAATAAATAAATAAAAGAAAATAAAAAAAACCAGCAACTTCATAAGACAGAAAAACACAGCTTACAACATATGAATCCTCAAATCTAGTGAATATGTAAACAACACATGAATTGAAATCATGTCAGCAGAAAGTAACAACAACTTAATTGATTAAAATTTTCAACACATAGTATCATTTACAGAGAGACTCTACAACTTTCTAGGGGAAGGCAGAGATGAAAGAAGAAATTGGAAAATAGTACCCGGGTTAGAGAGGGTTAGGGCTTATCCCTATGCTTGAAGAAATAACTTCTGCGATTGAAGAAAAAATTAGAAAATTGATGAGAGTTCAGAGAAGGAAGAAAGCAGAATAATAAAGATCAATGAAAGTTTAGAAAAGGAAGAAAGGAGAACAAGGCCAGTACCTGGGCGATTTTCCTCTGAAGGTGAAACTTGCAAAAGACAATGCTTCAAACAATCAGCCTTTGTGATTGAGGCAAAGTTATGTCAGTGCTTAGAAAGGGTTAGGCTTTCATTGATGGATTCAATAGAGTGAGGGCTAGGTCTCATTTGAGAATGGGAGAGAGAAGGGTCTGCACAAATAGAAATATGAAAGAGCATTAGGGCTCTAATTAGGTCAAAGTACCTATTTCAAGAGTTATAACGTGACCGGAGGCTGAGATGACGGTAAAAAACCCCAATTGTTTGCAACCGTCCAGTTATTGCCGCTACACCAGAAATTAGAAAGAGAAAGGTTAGGGTTTCAGCAAAGAGGGAAAGAGGAACCGTTGAGCCTGAGTATTTGATTTCCCTTTAGCAGATCGAAGATTGTTCGTGCCATGGCATATTGTATCTGTATCGCAGGAAACAAGTGAGGGAGAAAGAGTCGTGAGAGAGGGTTACACCGAATGGAATATGAAAGGCCTTAGGGCTTGAAATTAGGCAAGTGTAGAAAAGGGCATTTTAGGCAACACATAAAATAGGAAGAAGGGTATTTTAGGCAACAGAAATATCAAACAGTATTTTTTCATGTGCCACCTCAGCTTTTGGGTCAAACCCATTTTAAAGAAACTATGGGACTTTAACTCAATCTCTTAGTAAATATGATACCCTAAGTCCATTTATGTGTAATAATCCCTATAATTTATAACGATTTCGATTATATATCCTAAAGAGTATGATAGTGTGCAGGGGTATTTTTCAGAGGATTATACATTCTTAAGAGGATTATAGAAACTAACCTTCTGAAGTTCACAATAACAGGAATGACATCAATTTAAAAAATCTTAATAACAACTTCCACTTTATCTTCACTAGATGAGAACTTATCCTGTCATTATTTACAAAAAATTGAAGTCAGTGAAGGTTTCCTGTCTCGAAACAACAGAAATTTGAGATATATCATTTTTCATATATTGGTCAAGTCAAATGCTCAAAGAATATTCTTTCAAAAGAACAAAGAGGCTCAAGAAAGATGCTGATTGCGAGTGTTAATCATCGAACACAGACAATTATGTTATGTGAAAACCATTGTAGCAG